TCAGGGGGGGGGGGGAATTTGAGATTTGAGGTCTAGGGAGGTATGTTTTTTAGGATGGGGAGTACTGCATCTGTGTGTGTGTGTGTGTGTGTGTGTGTGTGTATGATAATCCCATAGAAGGGGGAAATTGATGACATGCTCAAGACAAATGAAAGAATTGGCCTTTGCACCAAGAGAGAGAAGGTGGGCATAGATGTAGGTAGTTGAATAGATGGTGTGCAGGATGAAGTGGGCTCTTTCTTTCTGTTTTCTCAGTGAACTAAAAACCCAAGACCATCAGCAGAGAGTGAGGAAGTGGGAGGGAGTGTTGGAGGCTTGAGAGGGGACAGGGTGTGAGGCCACTATCTTGGACAGTAGGAAAATCAACTGACCAGGGCCATGTGGTAGGTTGCAGGACATTCCTGAAGACCTACCTGAGACTTATGTTCATCAATTTAAAACTGGGCTTGTCAGTATAGTTGGGTGTATCTCAAGCCAAGTTCCTTGGACGCAGGGATAAAACAAGCTAAGAATTGGCTTAATCAGAATTAAGGTTTGCCTGAATGGAGGGAGAGAGGGCAGGGTGAAGGGAGGGGTGGTGCATGGGATCTAAGGAAGGTAAGAAAGGAAGTGAGGACATGGGTGATGACTCTTCAGTGGATTCCCAGTCCTGTTAGGTGCTTGAGAGAGTGAGCTGAAACGCAGAGTGGTCCGAGGGTGAGTGGGATGCTTGTGAAAGGAGCAGCGATGGGTAAAGACAGTCAAGGTTATGATCATCCTGTTTGCTCCCCTTCCCAGCATCATCCAGTCCCTCCTTCTGACAACACTCCTCTTGGCTTCAGTGATACCATATTCTCCTGGCTCATCTCCAGCCTCACCATCGGCTCCTTTTCTGTCCTTTCGATACTCACTGTCCTCTGCCTGTTCTCTACGTGTTGGTGTAATCCAGGGCTTGCTCCTGCACCTCATTCTCTTCTCTCTGCTCTCTGACTAGATGATCTCATCTGGTTCCATAACCTAAATACCACTTACCCAAATCTGACGCTGACTCTGAGTGTCTCCAGAATTTCATACTTAACATATCCAGCTGCCAACCAGTACTATATCCGTCTGATGTCTAATGGACATCTCTGTAATCTTTCCAGCCCTGAAACCTAGTTCTGAAAGGGCTCCCCCGTGTTACCGTCCATGCAGTTTCTCAAGCTAAAAATTTAGGTACCACCCTGACTGCTGCATTGCCTTACTCCTATATCCAGTTAATTCATTAATTTATTCATTTTCAATAATGAGCTTCAATTATATGCAAAGAAATTATTCCAGGTGCTGGGAAACAACGGTGAACAAAGTATGCAAAATTCCCTGACCTCAAGGAACTTAATGGAACGAGAGGAGATAGACAAGAAACCAAGTGAAATATAGAAGGTACCAGCTTTGGGGGAAAAACTGAAAAAAGAGAGTGGATGCAGAGTTGGGACATGATTGTGATTTTACATAGGGTAACAGGACAATTCAGAAGGAGATAAAAGTGGTGAGACAAGTGGATATCTAAGGGAAGGGAATTCTAGACAGAGAAAACCAGGGCAGAGACCCTGAGTCTTGAGCATTGCGTAGTGTGTTTGGGATGCAGCAAAATGGCCAGTGCAGCTGATGAGAGTGAAAGAGGGGGAGAGTAGAAGGATATGTAGGGCTGTGCGGGCCATCAAAGCCGCTGGAGGATTTGAGCAAAGGAATACCTTGATCATATTTAAAGGGATCACTGGCTGCTGTGCTGAAAACAGATCGGAGGGAATGGAGGCTGAAAACAGGACCAGGCAGGTGGTTACTACAGTAACGCAGGAGAGAGCACGGCGACTCAGATCAAGGGAGGGGCAGTGCAGGTGGCAGGCTCTGGATCTATATATTTTTTAAATACATTTATTTATTTGATTTATTTATTTTTGGCTGCGTTGGGTCTTCATTGCTGCGTGCAGGCTTTCTCTAGTTGCAGCAAGCGGGGGCTGCTCTTCGTTGTGGTGCGCAGGCTTCTTATTGCAGTGGCTGCTCTTGTTGCAGAGCACAGGCTCTAGGCGCACGGGCTTCAGTAGTTGCAGCACAGGGGCTCAGTAGTTGTGGCTTGCAAGCTCTAGAGCACAGGCTCAGTAGTTGTGGCGCAGGGCTTAGTTGCTCCGAGGCATGTGGGATCTTCCCAGACCAGGGCTCGAACCCGTGTCCCCTGCATTGGCAGGTGGATTCTTAACCACTGCGCTTCCAGGGAAATCCCTGGATCTATTTTTAAATTAGAGCCAACACTGTTTTCTGAAAGATTGAACATGGGGTGGGAGGGAAAGAGTCAGGGGAGACGCCAAGGTTTGTGAACAGAGCAAGTAGAAGGATAAGGTTGACATCAACTGAGGTGGAAAAGTCTGCGAGTGGAGTAGGTTTGGGGAATATTGGGGTTCAATTCAGATCATGTTTGTAATATTTGTTAGACAGTTGAAAAGAGTTGGAGAGCAAACAGTTGAATAGACAAGCCTTGTGTTCAGGAGAGATATTGAAGCTGGAGATGTAAATGTTGGATTCAGTGGCATATGGATGGTGTAAAGACCATAACTTTGAGATCAATGAGCCAGTGAGGGGATAGAGGAG